GATTTCTATTTCCGAGTCTCTAACCACTACCACACCTGCACTTTCATAAGATAATATCGTCATCATCAGAGTTAGTTCGACTTGAAACATTTGTAATTATTCTTTCATGATTCACAGAATGGTTTTCTCCTTGACAGCGAAATAATGCATCAAATAAATGCTCGTTTTATCACTGACTTCTAGTCAATCGCTTAACATTAACAATCTAGTTCTTTGTTTAAAACTGTAAATGTTCAATATATTCGCTTCATGAACGGACTGTACTTTTTAATATTCAATTCACATTTTCGACTACAAATGCTTCTTCTATATATATTCAACAGAATTACGTAGAATTGACATTCTAACAGAAGGTAAAATTCAGTGAGATTCAACATAATTTGATCTGGTACGTGTGAGATTAATAACCACTTATTTTAGGTAGTCCAGACAAAAGTGCCGTCATCTACATTCGATGTGATTTGCCTGCAGTTATGCACACGCACACACACACACACACACGCGCCCGCGCGCGCACACGCACACACACACACGCACCCGCGCGCGCACACGCACACACACACACATATATATATATATATATATAATTAAAACAAATGTTACAACCAAGAAAGGGTTAGAGAATGAGGAATAACCAAAACGGATTTTTTTTTGTTTTTTTTTAGAAATGAAATCAATTTGTCCTGACAAAAGAAAAGAAAAAAAAAAGAAAAAATGTATTCAAAGAGGAAGAAAGAAAAATAAAAATTTCAATATAAGATTTCTTTTAAATTTGGGAAAGAGAGGAAGAGAGATAGAGAGGGGAAGAGAGATGGAGAGGAAGGAGAGAGAAGGAGAATGTGAGGGAGGGAGGGATTTAGGGAGGGAGGGAGTGAAAGAAAAGAAATCAAAGAAGAGTTGAATTAAATATGAGCCGATAGGTTGACCTAGAAATATTTTTACTTAAAGGGCGGGCTGATCAGACATAATATATACAGTAATATGTCTAACAGTTATGTCATTTTAGATAGCAAAAGACTCATCATCGCATTATAATCATCACAATTTCATATTATTATTAACAATAATATCTAACATCAATAAAAAAAAGTTAAACAAAATTAAAAAAATGAATAATATAGATTAAATAAATAAATCAAAAGATAAATAAACAGTAAATTTAAAGAACAACTTAAAAAAAATGAAAATAAGATAATTTTATAAAAATATTTATATAGAAATAATTAATAATTTAGAATTATATATATATATACAAAAATGTGAATACATGTACGCATACATGTTAGTATCCATATAAAACAGAATCACCAATTCAAGTGTATATATACCAAAAATCAATGTTTGTAGGAAATTTTATTTTTTTAAACATTCATAACCATAATATATACTCGATTCTCTCGTCGAATTCGACGTATGAGGGTCAAGCAACTCAGTTCCAAGGAACCGACAGCCCGACACAAACACATGAGATTTAATTATAGTGGTAAAGGTTTTGTGAAGAACCATCCACACTTTTTGAAGTGCCAAATACAGAGACCTGGTGCACAACGTGCCAATATATATATATATATATATATATATATATATATATATATATATATATTTAAGCGTTTCACCCCAAGCAAGGCGGGAAGCCACTAGGACTCAAGATCAGATAGGAGTGATAGAAGAAAGGATGAGGAGAAGGATAGGGGATAGATCAAGGCAACTGGAGATGTCGATTAACATTACATTTGAATAGTTGGAGATTATAGCTCTCAGGGAAACTGGAATAGGGAAGGGAGTTCCACAGGCGAGATGTGCAGACATGAAGCTATTGGAGTAGAAGAGATGGCTACATTTAGGAGTTTCGACAGTGAAAGGGTGAGAGCGGGATGCCAACCTCGTAGAGCGCTTGAATTCATGAAGTCTGGGAACCAGCGAATGCAGCTCCTCGGAGCAATTGCCATGAAAGTATTTGTAAAACAGACAAAAAGAGGCGACGGCGCGTCTGTGAGAGATCGACTGTAGACGAGATGCCAGAACAGGGCCAATTATATTGCATATCCACCTCTGGATCTTATCAAGAACCGCGAGGCAAACAGAAGGGTTTCCAAACCATATATGGCAGCAATACTCCATGCAAGAGCGAATTGTTGATTTGTAGATCTGAAGGATCGATTCCGAGGAGAAAAATTTCCTAGCGTGGCACAGGGAGACAACTTTCCTTGCGGTGGACGAAGCAATTGACTCAATGTATTTGTTCCATCTCAGGTCAGCAGTCAACGTGAGACCGAGCAGCTGCAGAGAGGTGCTCTTGAGAAGTTGAACGTCAGACATTCTAATGGAGGGCAGGAAAGGATCTCTGTGGTGATTAATAGAGAGCAGTTTTTTGGGGGTTTTTTTTAGGCATTGAAGTTGACCAGCCAATTCCTGCCCCAGTTCACAACAGATTGGAGGTCCTTTTCGAGACACACGGCCAGGTTAGTTTTGTCAGCAACACTAGATTTGTTTTTGAGGCAGGAGTAAATTGTATATATATATATATATATATATATATATATATATAAATATATGGATATATATATGTATATATGGATATAGATCCGACAGTATGAAGAAAATATATACGGAAAAACAAATATCCTTATACATGATTATCATGTTGTATTGATAATGTTTTAATTTATGAATATGTCCTGAAGATGGTTTATTAGACCGAAACGTCCGACGTTGACATATTAACATTAAAACAGTATAAATTGTATATAAGGATTTTGTTTGTTTTTTCCGTATATATTTTTCTTCATATATATATATATATATATATATATATATATAATTATTTATTTATTTTATAACATAAAAATGTTATAACATGTTTATGTTATAACATTTTATGTTATTGGAATTTTCCGTATTGGAATTATATACTTGTATATATATATATATATATATATATATATATATATATATATATATATATATATATAAGTGAACATTGAAGTCAGCACTCAGAGGCGACAGGTTGTTTCATGCTGGACGCAATCGTCAGGACGCGAATGCTGGATTTTTCCTCGGCGATTTATATATATGGGTCAGTAGGGCATTGTGGGTAATCCATTCTGGTGGTTATTTTGGCGGGAGTGGCTTGTTTATTTATTTGGATTAATTTATTATACTTGTTTTTTATTTATTTTTTTCGGATTTCTATGTCTTATTAACGTTGTATTTTTTTTTTGGGGGGGGGGGAGATTGCTTAAGTTTCTTATTATACTTATTTATGTTTATGTTTATTTAATTATGTTTATTGTTATTAGTTCTAACGGTTATTCTACCGGGAGTGATTTGTTCGTTTATTTATTTATTTATTTTGGATTAATTTTTACTTGTTTTTTTTTCTTATTTATTTGCTTATTATTATTTTTATTTCTTATTTATTTTTTTTATTTTGTATATTTTTATATATTCTATTCGGTTTCAGAGATATGTTGTGGGAAGAGTGAAAAAACACCACAATTGTCACTATCTGTCATCAGTGGCAGTACAAACAAGACAGTGCGTAGCTGATAGAAGTACCTTAGGGTAGTCGCCGGAAATACATGCAGGGACACCTACCCATATCACGACATAGCACTACAGATACCCCGATATTACGCGACTGTTGATCGGAGCAGCCTCTCTAAGGGCTACCAGAGTTCAGGCTCCTAACGACCAGTCGGAAACAGCAACCAGCAAACTGCCACCTTGGCGCCCTCATAAGGGAAAATCACAGCCATTGGTTGGTTTAGAAAAGTTAAAACAGTTAAATCCTTATGGTAGTGGTAGGACAAAGAAAGAGAACCGGTAAAAAATCTGCTGACGCCAACATTCAAAATAGAAGTGGGTATATTTAACTGAAACCGTACAGGTCTTGAAATAAGGGCATGATGGGATCGCCATTTTAGCACTTTCCATTATCTGCTCTTTTATTTATTTTTTTTTTTTGATATTTTTAAGCGGTTTTATATTTTATATTTTAAATATTCGTGGCACTTATCCACTTTGCTGAAAAACGTCAACCCAGAATTTTTCATCCAGTTTACCACTCGTGATAGAGACCCATTAAAACGTAATATTGCATATATATATATATATATATATATATATATATATATATATATATATATATATATATGTGTGTGTGTGTGTGTGTGTGTGTGTGTGTGTGTGTGTGTTTCTGTGTTTGTGTGTGTGTGATAGCAAATGATATCAAAACATAAGGTACACACCTGCCAACGATTATTAAAAGCACAAAGGTTCAAAGAAATATGTATTATTTCAATAATGTTCGCATTTAAAAATAAATAAAAGGAAACAAAAACAATGGCAGACGATTCAGCAAGGGAAGTAACAATTTTTATATTCTCGCGTCAATCGTGCCAAAAATACTCTCTCGTAAATAGAAAGACAGTACTCAATCATTATTACATTTTCTCAACCAAGACAACTCAAATGTTATATGTCTTACTCGGCAAGATCAATATATATTTTACCCTCTTCAATTTTTAGTTAGCAGACCTGAACCAATGTGTGGCAAAAATAGTTGTTGCTTATAAATGATGATATATAACCTCAAGCTCCATACGTTTAACTTTTCTTATTAATTAGACGATTTTTAAGTATGATAATATATACAATACGTGGTTTAAAGAGGGAGATTTAATTGAATGCGACATGTGATTTTCATTCTACTTGCACCGTACTGCCGTAAGTGCTTAATTATAATCGTTGAAGAATATCCAGAAAATTGGTGTGAGCTGTATTGCTGTATTATTGTTGAATGAAGAGGCGTGTATCGAGTGGATCATGTGAAAAAGAAAAACACGAAACAGAGAATTTATGTAAAAAGAAGTTTTGGGTCAAGGTATTAATGAAATACTACTGACAGGCTGAAAGCAAATAATAAGAGGATAAAATGAAGAATATTTTTTAAATAAAAAGAAGGAATGAAAGATGGAAAGAAATAGATAACTGATGATTTAAGAAAGAAAGAAAGAAAGAAAGAAAGAAAGAAAGAAAGAACGAATAGAAAAAGAAAGAAAGAACGAAGAGAAAAACAAATGAAAGAAAGAATAAACGCACAGAAAAGAAAAAGAGAGAGAAAGAAAGGATAAAAAAAGAAAGAAAGAACGGATAGAAAAGAAAAAAACGGATAAAAAAAGAAAGAAAGAACGGACAGAAAAGAAAGAAATAACGGATAAAAAAGAAAGAAAGAACGCATAAAAAGAAAAAACGGAGAAAGAAACAAAGAAAGAAAGAAAGAAAGAAAGAACGCACAGAAAAGAAAGAGAGAAATAAAGGATAAAAAAAGAAAGAACGGACAGGAAAGAAAGAAAGACAAAAAGAAAAAAACGGAGAAAGAAAGAAAGAAAGAAAGAAAGAAAGAAAGAAAGAAAGAAAGAACGGATAGAAAAAGAAAAAGAACGGACAGAAAAACTAATGAAAGAAAGAAAGAACGAACAGGAAAGAAATAGACAAAAAGAAAAAAACGGATAAAGAAAGAAAGAAAGAATAAATAAACGCACAGAAAAGAAAGAAAGAGAGAAAGAACGGATAAAAAAAGAAAGAAAGAACGGACAGAAAAAATGAAAAAAGAGAGAACGAACGATCAGGAAAGAAAGAAAGAAAGAAAAGAAGAAAGAAAGAAAGAAAAGGATAGAAAAACGAAAAAAAGAAAAAAGAACGGACAGAAAAACTAATGAAAGAAAGAAAGAACGGACAGGAAAGAAAGAAAGACAAAAAAAAACGTATAAAAAACAAAGAAAGAAAGAAAGAAAGAAAGAAAGAAAGAAAGAACGGACAGAAAAGAAAGAAGGAAAGAAAGAAAAAACGGATAGAAAAACAAATGAAAGAAAGAATGGAAAGTAAAGAAAGAAAGACAAAAAGGAAAGAAAGAAAGACAAAAGAAAGAAAAACGGAAAAAAAAAAAAGACAAAAGAAAGAAAAAAAGGATAAAAAAAAGCAAAGGCAGGAAAGAAAGAAAAAGAAAGAAAAAAAAGAAAGAACGTACAAAAAAAAAGGAAGAAAGAAAGAAAGAAAGAAAGAAAGAAAGAAAGAACGGACAGAAAAGAAAGACAGACAAAAAAAGAAAGAGCGTATAAAAACCAAAGGAAGGAAGAAAGAAAGAGAAAGAAAGAAACAAACAAACATGTCATTTGAGAACATAGCCAATCATGATTCTCCACGTACTTCTTTTCTTTATTATGCGTGAATTGTCATCATTTCTTGAGAAAGTTAGTGGAGTGGAGCTCACATTTCAGAAATGTCCTTGTAGAATGGCAGCCAACCCAAAATGTCTATTTTTACTTAACTATGGAGTCCATATCGTGAGTTGGGCGTAAAATGATAGACACGAGCATTTCTTAATTGTACAACTGCAAAAAAGAATGTAACCGTCTAAACCCAAACTTGAACTCGGTTCGTTACTTCCACTTTCCTTGCCATATTCGCCCATACATATCACGGATAAATAAATAACATAAGGCAAAAAGCATTACTCATTAGGTTTGCTTGATTGGTTCATTTTGTTTAGCGGCATATCAACACCTCTTTGGGTTATTTAATGCCGAAATCTAAATATTTTGAACACAGTTTTATGGCTTCAATTTAATGTTTTGTACGCAATTGTATGCCTTCAACTACATATAAAATGTATTGTTGTTAAATTTTATATAATAATCTATTTCTGGTATTTTTACTATAAAAATGTATTTGTATAGTTAAATAGCGTTTTGTTTGGGTGTTCATTATTTGCCCGTAGCTGGGGCCCTAACAGGTGCTACCACCTTTAGTCAGGGTGGACCTGGGAACAACAGCTCTTAAGAGGTGGCCCCACGCTCCTCAAAAACTCGAATATCCCAATCAGAGGCCTTGCTGCCGGATGTAGTTTATCGTCATACCCAGAACTAACTCGTTCAGTGGATAAGAAGAAAGAAAAAGGAAAGAATTATTAAAAGTAAACAGAATATTGTTGATTAATAAGCGCAATAAGAAATAATACATGTACGAAAGAGTGAATAAAATAAGAATCAAACAACGAATGAAAGAAAAGAGGACAAAAGAAGAAAGCTTAAATAAAATGAGGAAACAAATAAAAGATTCATAAATATATCAATCTGTTTGCTTTCCTATTTTGCTATAACAGCAACTTCCAAAATACGTTGCCTTTCACACAAGTTATTTTCTCTTAAGCAAATGATATGAAACATTGATTTGTATACGGGCTTAAAAAGCGATAACGTTTACGTAATCCACAAAAAAAAACTTCCTGCGACAGACGTATAATTTATTTTATTATAACTTTTTCTTTCTTGTATGAATGATATATTATATCATAGATGTTTATCAAAACTAAACGTGATTCTGTTTACCCCTCTAGAGAAAATAAATATAAATTTTGTCCTTGCCTTTGTAGGCTTCCCCGAACCCACTGGCATACAATGCCTTCCCTCTGATCTCAAGAACTTTTTTCTTCGATCGAAGAAAGACGGAAATACTTGAGTGGAAATGTCAATGGAAATGGTAATATTAGCCGTTTCCTTATAAGGAAACATTTGGCGTTAATTCATCGCACGGACAGCACTTTTGCCGCTTGAAATTTATAAAAAAAATCTTTCTCTTTTTTAGAAAAATACGTTTTTCAAGTCCAGTAGTTCTTATCACTCCTTCCAGTATTGATGGGGATTTCCTTCCTAGCATTTTATTTTTGAAGTATTATGGCCGAATGGATAAAACGTTCGTATTCTGACCATGAGACCCGGGTTCGAATCTCACCATGGTCGATTTGTTAGGAAGGAGATTTCCTGATGTCATGCTTGAAAACCATACCACGGTGAGTGAAACTGGGTAGACGAAACCCCTGGGTGCCGTCGATGTCTGTACAAGTCATCGTGGTCGAGGTCTTGATCGTGCTGTCCTTGATCACGCTAGATACCACGCTCTTGCCCATAAACTGTAACTAAGGTCTGCTCTGCATAGCTACAGTATAAATCACAGGTGGGCTCTGTGCGTGTTGAATAAATGCGCCTGAGCAAGCGTCTGCAATAGGGATTGGCTAGGTGCCCTAGCAAAGAACTACCTTCCTATACGAGTGGCCAGCTATACATGCATTGTGGAATGTCAACATCTTGATTATGACATGTCAATGTTTTCTCTTCAAGCTAAATGAGTTATCCATTTTAGTTGTTACTGTTGTTGAAAGTTGTCAAGTCAGTTGGTTTGTAGTCTGGTACGGTTCTGTGTTTGCCGGTCCACAGTGTTAGACCAAAGATGGTCTTCTCCAACATCCACAAGCTTCAATGCAATTTTAACCATTGATCTTAGAAAGCAGGAATACAGCTGACAGTTTAAATATTAGTTAACGAATTTGGCGCCATGTATGATCTATATGAAATTCTCGATCTGACAATGCTATTGAATCGATTTGTTTAAGTTAGTGTTTTTTGTTCTGTAGCAACTTGCTGTATTGGGAAAAACTACACTTATGGACAAAAGCTGTACTGAGAAAAATGCTATATAGATCGTACAAATAATGAGAGAATTTTGTTTTAATGTTTCTGGGATTCAAAGAGACCCAGTCGTATGTTGTTCTTGGCGCAACCCGAGTTTTCTTGTGAAGACTGACACAACCGACCTGTAATTAAAATTACTGTATTACGAGTTTAACGTCAAAAATGGCGGCAATATTAAAAATGTTTGCAGTTGCGTATGTTATCTTTTCCGTAAAAGTAATTCTCATGTTTTATCTAGAGAGTTAACTCTGCTTCGACTGTATGAAAGAATTTTGTGATTTTGTAAGTAAATATATACAAAGAAAACACGAAAATACAAAAATAAAAATCAATCAATCCCAACTACTTACTAATATGATATTTCGTTGTTATGAACACGAGGATTTTTTTTATTGATATCGTGTTATCAGACTAACGAGAAAAGGAGTGGTACTACGCTGCGTTTCTAATAAATATATAAACACATATTATAGACTATACTAATCTAGATCAGTTATTCTATGGTACAGCTTTATTCAAAAGACCTATTTGCTAATTCCAAAATGTCATCTCCTACCCCTATAAATAGTACCACCAGATTATTTCAAAGAATCTTATACAACATTGAATCACAGATGATTTCCCAAGAGATAACCATCCTGGACATGACGATAAACTACATTCAATTGCAAGATTTCTGATCGTGAGGTTTTGAGGAGTGTGGAATCACCTTTTAATTGCTGTTCTTACCATGTCCACCCTATCTCGGGGTGGTAGCACCTGTTAGGACCAAAGCTATGGGCAAGTAGTTAACCCCTAAACTGGAGTAAAACAAATATTATGAAAGTATAAAAATAGATTTTATAGTAAAATTACCAGCAATACATTTTTGAAAAGAAATATTACTAGCAATACGTTTCACTCTCAACAAAAAACCTTTTTTCGAAAACAGGTCAATGAAACCTGATCTACAAACTGATTTCTTGCAAGAAATACATATTCTATTCATACGAACCTATCCTAAAAATATTGTCGACATTAAACAACCTATTTTAGGTTGATATTCTGTAAACCAAAATGAAACCAAACCAAACCAAGTTATAAGTCGAAAGTCAGCAAGCTTGTTTCGCTATAACAATTAAGACTGAATAGTGAGTTCATTCCTCATTGGGTTCCTCATACTTTCGGCTTTGTGCCATATCTAAGCAATGCTTAGAAAATCAATATAAGTCGAAAGTTTAGAAAATACGATGACAAAAGAAAACAGGAACATTTTTGCTTCTTAATCATTCCTACCTTCATGTTCTATAACAAATCATTCTTCCAGTCGTATGTAAATGATGGAATATTATAAATTATGAATAATTATTCGAATTTTAGGGATATCGTAAACGCTGTGTTTTTAACGTCAAATTTTAGAAGAAATTAAAATTCACCTTTTGGCAAATTAATTGGTAATGGTATGATAAGTGGTATTATAAATGGGATGATAAATGGTATGATAATTGGTATGATAAATAGTATGATGATTAGTATGATAAATGCTATGATAATTGGTATGATAATTGGTATGAGAATTGGTATGATAATTGATATGATAATTGGTATGAGAAATGGTATTGTGACGTCGTCCCCCGGTCGCAGCGTCGACTGTGTCGTTCGATCCCGGTCGCGGCGCCAATTGTGACGTCACGTGCTCCCCAGGCTCTGATATCCTGGTCACGGACAGCACCAACTGTGACGTCTTCGCCGCGGCGTCAGCTGTTCGATCCTCGCTGCTCCAAACGTGACGTTCTAACCCTTTGGTTAGATTGATACCAGCCTCGCCATTCCCAACCCGCTTCCAACGCCTGGTTACCGGGGTAACTGCACTGATCTCCAGTCTGCCTACCCACCTTGTGAATTGATCTTAGACAGACGAGATCAAACAGGGGTTGGGGCCGTAATGCAAGTTGAGTCAAACGGGGGTGATAACACACAATTATGTATAAAAGAAAAGAAAATAAAAACCTACAAGGTCCAACGTATCAAAGAAAAAGGTAACAAACATTTTATGTCTATTTGCTCGGTACATAGGACTATGTCTACTTCCCGACCCGTTCTGTGGATTGTGGCACGACGCTTTTACTAGGCAACTTTAAGGCTTCAAATTGTCTGCTCTCTAAAAATTTGTGTTTCGGTGTGTCTTTGGACGAAAGTCGAAAAAAAAACTTATTTCTGTGGTCTTGATTCTAAGTCGCTCTTCAAACTACTTGTTCTTGGTTGAAGAAGAGTCCAGAAGTGTGCGTGAATCTTGGTCAGCTATCTTGACGCGGTTTCAACACTGGGCGCTCATCTCTGCTTGTCGTCCAAGATTCAAAACTTCTCGCCAGGGTCCGCGGCTCAATCTGACTTCTTCTCTCCGGCTTGGGTCGAACAAACTGAACTGAACTCTTTCTCTCCAGAGTCTGAATTACTGGTCACTCATCTCCGCCGTCGGTGCGCGAACTAACTTCTTCTCTTCGGCCTGGGTCGGACGAACTTCTTCACTTAGGCCAAACGAACTGGCCTCTCTTGCCCGCAAAAGCTTCCACTCCGCTTGCCGTCCGCGGCTGAACTCTGATTTCTGTCGGTTGGGATCTCGCTTTTATTGACGCAGTCAAAACTGGGGTGGGTCTGTCGGCGCC